TAGGGGGGGTTGGTTTTGGGGTTTATATTGTAACTTTTATAAAACTTTTCAATAATAAAAAAAAAAGACTGATTTGAGCGTGACAAAGAAAAGGGAGGAGGTGGGATGGAATGCAAGGGGAGGGGGAATTGCAGCCAAGCATCATTGGTTCCCGTGGGCCAGGGCTCCAACCCAAGGATACATCAAATGGATGGCCTAGTGTGGCTCGCTGGTTCCCATAACAAAATGAACAGAAGTGATTGGTGGACTAAATGGACTGTGGGTGACCCATAGGGAAAGGGGGAAATTAACTATGCTAGCTTTTGCGCAGGAAACCCAGAGTTGGTTTCGCTTTGTCTATGCCAATATGGTTTATTTAGTAAAGTTTATACTCTTGGTAAAATAATGTCCCAGGAGTTTCTTTTTCTGGATCCGCCAACTAGACAGTTGGCAGGGGGGTACAAAAGTGCATCTGCTGCTCAGAATTTTTTTTTAAAAGTCCCAAGCTTATGTTGACAGGTAATGCCAACACAATGCATGTTTGCAGGGAAGAAGCTGAGCTACTAACAACTTTACCTTCCTAGAATCAAGTGTTCATAATGATTATAGCTATGAAAAACGTTACAGCTACAATTTGGGCTGAAAATGGGAAGATCTTGTCAAAACTTATATAGTCAAAATATTAAGGTGTGGAGATATCACACTGACAGTAAAAGTATGTGTTATCAAGACCATGGTTTTCCCAACTCTAACATGGTTGTGAACGGTGGACGATCAAAACAGCTGAACAAAGAAAAACAAATGCCTTTGAATTGCAATAGTGGAGAAAATGGTTGACAATACTGTGCACAGCAAGAGCAAATAATTCAGTATTTGTTGTGAGTCTGTGCCAGCCAGTGGACCCGGCAGCTGAGTCCGGGGAATCAGAGGAGGAGGAGGAGGAGGCGTTTGGAGAGCCATCAGAGTCGGAGGGAGGCTCTGATGAGTTACAAGACTCACAATCTGATGAAGAGCCTGGCCCCTCCAATCGTGTTCTGGATGAAACTCAGCTGTGTGGGGAGGATGAGTCAGACTTTGAGGATTCACAGCTGGTAGACATTATTGACACTCGTAAACTAAGGCAGTTAACTAGAGCAGGTCAGCAGCAGTCAATACGACAACTTCAGGGGAGGAGGAGAAGGCATTGAGAAGGTGTGGGTGGTGCTGGTTGCTGAAGGCAACCGTTTGCAAAGAACTTCCAGGGATCATGGTCTGTTTGTTTTACCAGTGAATTTCTTGTTTAACTCCTGCTCTGTTTGCTTTTTTAACCAATTATCTGTTGGAAAAGTATTCTGTTGTTTTTGTTTTGGAGAAAACTTATCAGGACTGTTTATGCAATAAAAAGGGTTGGTTTTTCCAGCCTACTGATAAAAAAGGGGTTGTTCTTGTGACAATATTAGCTCAAGTAAAACTGGAAGACTGCTTATAGAAAGCATTAACAGTGAAGGTAAAGCTTAAGGATTTTTGACACAGAAAAAAAAGGGACACTGGAGAAGATCGTATACTTGAAAAAAATCAAAAGCAGTTGAAAGAGAGTCTGATAGATAGTGGATAGATATTCACATTGATGGCAAAAGCATGAACGTATAAGAATTTAAAGAAGAAGCTCTAATAATCTTGATGTAATAATGTCCATTGGGTAATGAAGGGTCAGAAGTGACTGAACAACCATCAACAACTTACGATGGGGCTGTGAGTCATAATTACTAAATATTACTTTAAATATTTGCAGCAGTATATTTTCAATACTAATCGCCGCAGAAGGTGAATGGAACAGTACTATTACATAAATGCCCTGGTTGTAAACTTTCCATGGGCATCTAGTTGGCTACTGAGAGATCAAAACAATGAGCTACCTGAGCCTTTAATTTGATTCAGTGCAGTTCTTCTAATGTTCTAAGCATTCTATAACAACTGGTTCTAATACATATGGGCAATTCTGCTCAAGTTATAGAATTTGAACGCAAAGTATACTGAATCGTGCATACTCACTCTCGTCAATCGCAGATTTATTTTCCGCATGGCTTTCAATATCTTTAGAAAACCATTCATTGAACTCTTCATGGGAATCAAACAATGTTGGCATAATGAAATGAAGCAAAGCCCAGAGCTACAAAAGCAAGGAAAACAGTAATAAATAACCCACTAACTAATATATCTCAAAACTCATTTCTTACATATACTGAATAGGTTCAAGGAAATTTCTTTCCAAAAATGTCAACATGGGTCATCTGGACTGACAATTCAGAAAACCTTTCAGTAATGATGATAGTGAAGACTACATCAAAACCTGGTAACAGATTGAGGAACGCCATTTTCTGAGCACCTCTGGACACAAAGTAAACAGAAAGAGGCAGGCAACACTATAAGTTATATCTGTGAAAACATTAGATTGCTACTATTTATAGAAACCAATGAGAACAAAACATGCATACCTCAGCCATAGTGTTTTGGATGGGGGTTCCAGTTAGCAATAGTCGGTTTCTACATTGGAACTGAAGCAAAATTTTCCAGCGGACGCTAAATACCAACAGATTTTGAAGAAACTGATTTAGTAAATGGCAATAAAGGAACACATTGTTTTTATAATGTTAATTCATAAAGACTTCTAGGAAAAATAAAATACTATACAGATTTTACTGCCATTTAATCTGTCTCTAAAAGCGCTTCTACAATGTGACATGATCAATTTATAAGCAGTTTAAATATTACTACAAATAATACTATTTGTTGAAAGAGTCAGCTTGGGAAGTCTTAAGCCACACAGCTGATGGCTCTCCTTCTTCTCTGTTGACCTTCTCCTGCACATGCTACTTCCTTGGCCACCTCTGCTTGCCCAGAGAAGAGCATCTGATAGCTTTTCAAAGCCACTGCCTAGACAATGGGAAATAGGAGAAACCTGGTTGTTGTAACTTCTTTGTTACTGGAAATAGTCCCTGGAGGGGCCCATGGAACCTAAATATACTCGGTGCTTCTAATGACTTACAAAAAAATTACAAATCATGGAATCTTCATAAAACAAAAATACATTTTAGAAAGTGGCAGCATTTTAAAAAGTGACACTACAATTACTGCATCTTAGCTTCCTTTTTTTCACTGGTAAAATCGTTTAACTCTTTCTACTACATAAAATACCTGGAACTACTCTTGAGTGCCTGTGCTTCATCCAGCACCATATATTGCCATTTCACCCGCTGAAAATACTTGACATCTTGGACTACAAGTTGATAACTGGTGATCACCACATGAAAAGAAGCATCCTGAGTATACAAAGTCTTCTGCAATCAGGGGGAAAAAATGAAGTTCCATGATTAAAATTGATCCATCGAATATACTCAATAATTTCAAAATCTGTTTCCAAGCTGAGTGAGCAGCTTGTTTCTAACTGGACATTTTGTGTTATCTTTTATATTTAAAATTTTGACATATGATTAGGCAGATTTATATGCATAATGATTGAAGTAGAAGGTTACAATCTTAGTGACAGTTCAATTTACAGGCATTCCAGCAGCAGATACTTCCTTCACACAAGGATTTCTCTTGACTGGAGCTCTGTATTATACTTATTACACCACAAGATGAGGTTAAATCACTAAGGAAAAATCTATGTGCATTCAGATAATCACTCAATTAGCCCTCAAATATATTTAAATAGTAAAAGCCAAACTTTTTGCAAATTGTAATCCTAATCACTAGCTAGGGAATGAAATTAAGGGAAGACTTTATGTGCATATGAAAATGTTAAGGGAAGACTTTATGTGCATATGAAAATAAGAGTTGATAGGGACAGGCAAGAGTTGGGGTTTTAGGACCTTAAAGATAAATATTATTATAAGAAAAAAGATGTAGAGGCAAGTACTGAAGAGAAGACAAACATTAAGATAAAAGTAACAAAATTTATGATTAAAAATATTCCCAAATTCTATTACAGAAAGACAAAAATACATTAATTCATTAAATAAATGAGAGGGATAGTACCTGACTCCAGAATTTCCTGATCACTTTTCGGTCATTGGGATTTCCCCAATATGGTAGCACCTACAACATATAAAAAACAGTCCATGTAAGTACTTATTATTTTTACAGAAATCCTTTAGTTCTTTCAGACTTTTGCCATTCCTTGTTAACCAGATTCAGATTTCTGGTCTTTTACATCAGGCTTCCGAACTTGGCAGTTCCTAACTCCAAGAGTTAGGAGAGTAGGAAGTAATATAAATCTACAAGTTCTTTTAAGAATTTAGGAAAATTGAATTTATGGAATGATCATGTCTGCAGTTACCTTAAATCTAGGAACAAATCTGGCGAACTCCTGATGCCAGTTGTTTAATGTGGAAGCTGGTGAAATTATTAAAAAGGGGCCCCAGATGTTCTCTCTCTGGAAGGGAAAAAAAACCTTAATTAAAGAATGTTTAATACACTTTAAATAAATATCAAATATGATGAGTAAAGAAAATATACGTTATAAAACTGCTTTGTACTATACAGGTGTTTTGTATGTTGTACTGAAGCACACATACTAGGGACACAACATATACATTGTTTACTGACATGCCTTCCCCAAACATACTATGGTAAAGCCAAACCAAGCAAAATAATGCATGCAATTTATATTGATTTATTCATAAAAATAAGACAAAAAGGAAGAGCAAAAGTGCCTGAATAGTTCTTTTAATGTAATAATTACTTTGAGGTATGGCAGTAACATGCATACATAGCAACCTCTGCTTTTTGTTTTCAATACAAAGTTGTACTTGTGTAACTCAGGATATCAAATGTAGTACAAGTGTGGCACAAATCCCTTCATAGGCAACCTGGGCTTGCAGTTCAAAACAGCCAAAACAAAGGTTAAAGAAGAATACTTTGAGTCAGGCTGTAGTAGAGATGAAATCTGGGGAGGATCAGTTAGCATCAGGAAGCATAAGAGATTTTGAGTACCAGAAAAAACTTTGGAATGAAAGAAATGAAAGCCTCAATTCAATTATGCACAGAAAGGAAATGTTATTACACATATGCACACACACATTAAATACACATGGGCCTCATTTCAATCATGCAATAAGTGCTTGCTTTCAGCCAGAGGTTTAAAGCACAAAGAATCTACTTACCTCAGCCAGATGCGCTAATAAGGCAATACTCTGCACAGTTTTACCCAGCCCCATTTCATCTGCTAGGATACCATTGATGCCCTGAAAGAATGAAATTGAAAACTTCAGTCTGGGTAAGGCATAAAAATAAGCATATATAATACCCTGAAAATCAATTCAACATTAAACTTCATCATTTCTCTTCAAAAAGCATGAAATCATAGTTCTGGAAAGTTCTGTAATATTCTCCTTTCCATAAAAATATACCTCGAAAGTATCTCTGAAAATATACCTGTATTCATTTCCATAGATGACATTTTAATTTTAGGAGTATGAACACAATATAAGTAACCATAGTTCAACCCTCTTTTTGGAGCCAAGAAGTAATTTGTTTTAAAGATTTTTCTTCAAGAAAAACAAGCACACCTGCTCATAAAGATTGGCTAGCCAATTCATGCCTTTCAACTGGTAACCTTTTAATTTGCCACAGAAAATGGTAGGCTGTGGAATGTCCTCTCCTGCCCGGATGGAAGGGTTGGCAAGGCTGTAGCTCTCTCCAAAGCCAGTGCCAGATTTATTGGCAGCTCGAAGTGCAGCTGCCCGGCTCTCCTTAGCATCTTCATCAAAAGACCTGGTCTAAACAAAGGGAGGAGAAAACGGTTAGAGGGATAATCTTACACAAAATGAACAAGTCCGAATCCCAAACTTACAACTGAATAAAGACACATGGAACAAGGTAGATGTTCTTTCATTTGTTAACATGGTCTCATACATATGAGAAGAGTAGAACTAAAGTAACAGAAACTAATCCATTCTGCAATCTTCATCTTAAGTTTTGCTCCTGATTCAATTTCTGAACTTGAAATACTTGAAGTACATTATCATGACTATTCCTCATACAATTCCATGGGATAACATTCACTTAATATCTATGCCATTCAGATTAATTCTAATAAATACATTACCTAATTATGGACATCTTTATTGTTTAAAGAATAAAGGTAGTAACTTACAAGAAATGTGGAAAAGTTGCTATGCCAATTCCAGACATTTTAAAATTTAAAATACTTTCCAATTTACATTATACTTTATTGTACACACTTACTTGGGCCTGATGAATTCGAAAAGCATCTTCAGCATTTTTCAAAGCCTGAGCCTTGTAATAGTTACTGTCTGATAATAAAGCAAAATTTAAAAATGAAACAAGCATTACATTACAAAACTCTACTTATAAGCAATTCACAAATTTCTGAAAATTAAAAGTTTGAAATGGAGCTGAACAGATTGTTTGATAACACACTTCACTTACCCATAAAATTGCCTCTCTTTGTCTTGCTATTTGTGTCTTTAATTAAGGGTTTCAAAGAGGCACTTCATTTGCAAGCAATCAGCCCTAGTTCATAATTCAGAGAAAGCATGCCATATAGTAATGATAGGGTTGTCCTAAATCTCGTTAGAATTTAGTTTCATCCTTACCATAATCTTCTTGAGTAATGTTGACAACAACTCCTCCACCAATATCAATTTGCCTCTGGATAGAACTGTCTTCAAGTTTCCTTAGAATTTCTTCCTGAATTCCATCATGTCCTGTATCTCGTTTGCGACTCATGAAGTGGGCATACAGCTCGGTTTGGGTTATCAGGAAGTTAAGTTTTCTCTGCTGTCTTTTAGCCTAAAGTAATTTATAAGTAAATAAAATAAAATACTTTCACATATAAAGATTCACATAGAATAGTTTCACAACTGAGGAACTAAAACGATGATTTCCTGAATGATGGCTATTGATGTATTGAGTAAAAAATACAACTTCCAAAATATCCAATATACAGTAGCTATATCCAACCTACATGTTCTTGCTAATTCAAAGAAAATAACTTATTAAAATAAGCATTATAAAATAGATCAGTTTGACTTTACAAAAATCAAAAGATGAAATGTGAAGAGAACACATTCAAAAATTACAATAATTTTAATAGGTAATAAAACATACAACGAATCTTGTATTTTGAGATCTCAGAGAGGGGAAAGGAAAATCCTGTTTTTCAATTAAAGGAGAATCCTAGTGTTTAAATGTGGGCTCAGCTTGGAAAATTATGTCACATAGGCTAAAACCACATATAATTTGTTAGGCAAACTTTAAAAAGAATTTGAATTAATATTAAATTTATGATTTGGATAATATTAACTGGAATGTTGTAGTCTAGATTTGGAATAGTCAACATGATGGTCACAGGCAATAATTATTTGCATGCACCTTCCCAGGTATCTGTGTTTATTGACTTCATGTATTTTTAGATTCATTTAATTAAAAAAGAAATTAATAAATGGGAAACTGGAAAGCTGAAAATTAAATCCCTGGCTTCTAACATCATCTTTATTTACAGAAATGTTTTTGGTTCTTACATAGATCACTTTAGAGAATAAATATGGTAGATGGCGACATCTGTCCAGAGGGAAAAAAAGTGGGAATGTTTGAAAGTACCCCATTGAGCTAGAAAAAAGCAAGTTTATCACTTTGTTTCTTAGTAAATGGCTGGTCCATAAAAAACAAAACTATACAATAACCATTTTGTGACAGCATTCAGGACCAGCCCTCAGAATTCTAAAAGTGCCTAGCAGCCTGAATTATTGCCTTTCCTTCCTCTAGAACAGACATGTCAAACTCGCGACGTCACATGACGTCGCACAACGTATTGGAGCTTTTTCGCCGTTGCCCGCAATGGGGTGGGCGCGGCTCCGATATGATGAAACCGGCCCACGGGCCGGCAGTTTGACACCCCTGCTCTAGAAAATTGATTTCAAAATTCAGAATTAAATAAAAATTAGATAATCCTCCACAAGGAAAATAAATGGATACTTTATATTTCAATGACTCTGTAGGACAAGAGCAATATTGGCAAAAAATAAGATTTCTGGTAGCACCTTTTCTGACTAACATATTTCATTAAAAAACAAACTCCAATGAGCTGCAGCTCACTTCATCAGAGGCATGCACATCAGTTGCATCTGATGAAGTGAGCTGCAGTTTAAAAGAGCTTATGCCTTTTAATGAAATCTGTTAATCAGAAAAGGTGCTACCAGACCTCTGTTAGTCAGAAAAGGTGTCCCAGTCTCCCTCTGATTATCTGCTGCAACATCTGCTTTGTTAATGTCTAGGTTTCTTTCCCTAAATGAACTATACTTACTTCTCTCATCTCCTCATCCAATTTGCGTTGTTCCAATGCTTCTTTCTCTGCTCTTTTGCGGTGCTCTTTTTCCACTTTTTCATATTTTTTCCAATACAAAAGCATCTCCTTTGTAAGTCGACGTGCCCTTGGTAGAGTTTCCTTGCAATTCTTTTGGGCTTGAATAGCTGCTCGACGCACCTCTCTCATACACTGGTGAGCCAGCTAAAACAGAAAAGAAAGGGGAAAAAATTAGAATTAGGCAAAGAGAGAAAAACCAGAAAGAAAAGTTTATATTCTCAAGTCCTGCACTGTAAGCAGTGTTCTTGAGTATCTCCCAGTACCAGAGCCGAAATTCACAAATGCTGCTTTAATAATACTTTGCTCTTATATGTTAAATACTTTCTTTGTAAATGAAATCCATTTAAGATAAAAACAGAAATCTGTCCTTCTGACAGAAAAGATGCTTTCTTCTTATTAGAACTAAATAGATTATGGAAGTTAAATTGGGAAAAACTATGAGTACAGATATAGCTGTTATTATTATTCCTGTTTAAATATGACAATTACAGCAAATACAGATTCTTAGTAAATTCATGTCTGGATAAGGTAATGAACTTGATGTGTGCCAAAAAAAACCCAAACTCAGTCCAGACAAGACAGTATAATTTATCTTTCACTGTTGAGGCTCCAAAGGAACAGTCCTAGTCTGTTCAATTTTCAAAGAATTACGGGTAGCCCTCACTTGTTTAGCCAACTTCGCTGTCTGATGTTCTCCTTCCTAGCCCAATTCAAAATGGTTTTTTTTTTAACCTTCAAAGACCACTGTTCCTAGAACTGTGATTCCAGGAGTGATTTCCCCTTGCCTCTACATAAGCCTCTCTATTATACTAAGGTAATTATTAAAGTCCATTTTTGGATTCCCTGCCACCTGAGGCAGGCTTTTATAATACAAAGCTGTGAAATGTTCTTTGTTGGTCATTATTTTTCATTTTTAAGTTTATAAAAATAGTTTTAATCTTTAAAATTCTGATTAAAAATGTTTTAATTGCATTTTTAAGACCACAATCAAATTCCAACTAATGATATTAGACTCTTATCAATGCAATACATTTTCCTTCTGCCTGGAGGAATATATCACTGTACCTTTAATACCCAAAAATAGGTAATTTACTGTAGCTGAAGGACAAGATATAAATTCTCTTAACATTAAAACATTTTTTTAAAAAATCAATGTATTTCAGTCCCAGTATGGTACAAAATGTTGCATAGTATACCTTTCTGCTATTGCTCAAGAACAAATTTCGGGCAGAGACTTTTTGCTTGTATGCCTAAAAAAAAGGAGGGGGAAAGGATACATTATTATATCATACTATAACAATTATTTTTTTCACACAACTAAAAGTACCAACTAGAAATATCAAATGTGAATTTGTTACTTAAATCAGGGATCCCCAACCCCCAGGCTGCAGCCCATTACCGGGCCATGACTTATCTGGAATTGGGCCATGCAAGCGGCTGATTGGAGCATATGCTTGTGCAACTCCACCTGCATGAGCGGCGGGCTGGCAGGCACTTGTGCACCTGCACGCTGGCCCACAGTTTGCGCAAGTCAAGCTGCACACGTCGGCCTGCAACTCAGGCAAGGGCTGCGTGCACGTGGGCCCGCTGCTCACGTTGGCCAGTTCCCGTTCCCCTCCCACCCAGGCTGCCAAGCTGCAAAAGTTGGGGACTGCTGATTTAAATCACAATCAACAACTCAAAATAAATGTTTTCTGCCTTCCTCTCCTTTTCCTTTCAACTGTTCACTATGTATGCAGAACATGTTGATTCAGAAAATAATAATTTTATATAATTTGCCATTGAATGTAATTTTACCTCATATGATTTCTGTATCGCTACTAGTAGTACATTTTAGTTTGCAGAGCCTACCTTGGGCAGCTCCTTTTTAGCAATGCTCAACCATACTTTCCTCCGGCGAGCATTTAATTGTTCAATAGATAAATGCTTTTTCTTAGACCCTGGTGGAGGGGTGTCGTGAGAAAACTTGGCAAAAACTTTGATTTGGTGGTGATGACGTCGTGGTGACTCCTCAGATGAAATGTCTTCATCCCTTCTTTTCTTTTTTTTCACCTTTTTCAATTTTGCTGGAAGAGGACAGCACACAATATGATCAGTTTCCTTCCATAATCATTTGAATTCATAGCATTAACTTGCAGCTTGTGAATGTATTCCATCCAATAATGGAACCAATTCGAAGTAGCAACTAATTTTGCAATTCTCTATAAATCTGCAGGGGGGAAAATCTGGGCTTGTTTATAAAGACTAAATTGTTCAAAAAAGATGAGTATAAGCAAAATGTCAAAACACTGTCATTTATAGCTTCTCTTTTAAGTGAAATGCTATTCAAATATTTGAGAAAATAATCAATTAAAGAAAAAGGAATAAAACTGAGTTCTAGATGCGGATGAAATCTACAGTGTGGCAAAAGAGGAAGTTTAAAACAGTTTCAGAGAAACATATCAGATTGGCAAAAGCTGTTCCAGAAAGATCACTCTTATGATTTATTTGTAAAATGCATTAAGTCACTATATAGCAATAAATTCCAGGTTAGTTAATAAAGGCTTTCCTCACTTTATGAGGATTACATACCCCCAAAATCTTATATAATGTGAGATGCTGAACCAGAATAAGAGGGTCTTGTGGTATGGATAAAATTTTGACAAACATGCTCTAGCAATTTTAGAGCCTTATTCTTGAACACTACATTACTTAAACATGTTTTATTCCTTGTCTTATGTTCTATGTATAGCCAAAGCATTTTATCTACCTTTTCAACAACTGGATTTCTAGTGTGCGTAATTCTAATGGCAGACAAATGGGCAAACTGCACCACAGCATTCTGAATTTTTCATTATGTTCTACAAAATACATTTGCCCAGACTAGGTCTGAGGATCTTTCACCAGCTTCAGTGTGATTTAGTATGTCCAACTCAATCTCTAGCATTAGAAAGTTCTTTTTCACTTTAGATGCAAGGTTTTAATAAGATATTGACAACTGCTTTGAACCCCTAGTAATAGTAGCATCTATGGAAGGTATGGAGGTAAGAGAAAGGAATATACAGCTAGTAAAATTTCACAGCCTGGTGGTAAATACTTGATACAAATCAATGCCCAGAAAAGAGTGAGTTAGCATAAAGATGCACCTTTTAATTTTTTTTCCTCTTTCAACTTCTTTTTCTTCGGCCCTATGAGATGACGTTGTTGCTCGTAATAAGGATCATATGTAGACAGCAAACCTGTACTGTAATACTGATACTGCTGTAACTGAAGCAGACATAAAAATAATTACTTTTTTAAAATTAAGGCCTAATTAAGAAACATAGCTGGGTAGAAAGTTCAAGTCACTTCAAGTTTAGATTGTTTTTATGTTTGGTAATAATTGAGTATATTAACATGATACGCTTAGCTATAAAATGGTAAGATATAATACAAAATCTGAGGAAAAGAATAGAAAGAAATACAATGCCTCTCTTTAGTGAAAAGGCTGGTTTTTGTAACAAAGGAAACCGGTTACTGTATAATATTGGGCCAGTCACCCTGTCAACCCAACCTATTACACAAGACTGCTAGGGGGATAAAAATGTGGAATAGCCCCAACTATGCTGCCTTGAGCATCTTAGAGAAAGTGTGGGATATAAGAATATATGTACATAAATAGGCACAGCCAATTTGCTCTACTCTCTACTATAGTTTGCAACTGATTAATTTCTTTCTGGCATTTTTTACCTCTTTATCTTTGCTGTATTTATTTTGATGCAGTTTTTTGTACTTGTGCAATCGCAGCATATTGTGAAGTTCTTCTCTTGAAAGAGTGAATTCTTCTCCTTCCCCATCTTCATCAGTTACTGATTCACTGTCACTGTCGTCATCACTCAGGAGAATGCTCTGCCAACGAGATAATTTCAATTTTCAACAACAGTGAGCAAAATGATCAGAACAGGAAATAAAAATTTCTGAAACAGGTCAATGGGATTAAAGCTTCTGAAAAGGGGGGGGGGGAACCTAACAACATTTATACACATAGAAGAGCTTCACTGTTTAGCATTTCCTACTGCATCTTCCTCCACCACAATATTAACCATCATGAAATCTTTTGAGGCTGCTTCAGTGGATGGTGCACACATAACATTTCTGATTTCTTTTTACTGCTTTCACGTATACATTTTCTCAAAATCACTGCCAAGTAACCTTCATTTTAGCCTTAGGAACATCACATTTCTGTTGTCAGTAAAACATTTCTTGCAATGTTTTAACAGTGACCTGTTCTATATGGTCAGGCAAAATAGACTATGAAATTGACTCGTTGAAATTAAACATAGTATTAATCCACACGTCTGGTCCAATGGCACATTACAAAAATATAGTCTTCTTTCTGGCCAACGTTGGAAGTACAGAAGCCCAATGTTTTGGGGTAAGGACTCTTTTCTACAAATTTGCATTGGCATACAGTGTTGGTAAACTCTGACAGATCTACCCTATATAGGTAGTCCTCAACTTATAACCATTTGTTTAACAACCATTTGAAGTTACAAGAGCACTCTTAAAAAGTGACTTATGGCCAGCCCTAACACTTATAAGCATCCCCATAGTCACATGATCAAAATTCAAGTGCTTGGCAACCGGCAAGTATTTACAAGAGTTGCAGGGTTCTGGGGTCACGTGATCAGCATTTGCGACCTTCCCAGCCAGCTTCTGACAAATAAAGTCAATGGAGGTAGCTGGATTAGCTTAATGATTGCATGATTCCTTTAGCACAGTAGTTCTCAACCTTTGTAATGCCGCGACCCCCAACCGGTCGTAAGTCGAGGACTAAACTGGTCGTAAGTCGAGGACTAAACCTGTCGTAAGTCGAGGACTACCCAACCAGTCATAAGTCGAGGACTTTCCCTGCCCGGGAGCGCTGCGCATGCGTGGTTCTGCCCCCTGCGCCGGCCGAAGTGTAGCTGGCAAGCGGCAGAGACGGAGCAAGCTGACCACCAGCTGGCCCAGCCCAAGGGAGGTAAGGCACCCGCCGGAAAAGGGGAAAAAAATGGCTGACAGCCTTGCTTGGCGACCCCCGTGAAATGGTCGATTGACCCCAAATGGGGTCGCGACCCATAGGTTGAGAACCGCTGCTTTAGCAACTGCAGTGATTCACTTAAAAACCATGGCAAAAAAGATTGTAAAATTGGGCACGATTCACTTAATAACTGTCTTGCTTAGAAACAGAAATTCTAGACTCAACTGTAGTCATAGGTTGAGGACAACTTATAATCATGCAGATGTTCCCCATCCTCAAACCCACCCACCAACCACCCACCCATTTATCTAAGCTACAAATTCATTGTAGAGCAGGGGTAGTCAACCTTGGCTCTTTTACGACTCGTGGACTTCAACTCCCAGAATTCCTGAGCCAGCTAAGCTGGCTCAGGAATTCTGGGAATTGAAGTCCACGAGTCGTAAAAGAGCCAAGGTTGACTACCCCTGTTGTATAGAGTCAGCAAGCTATGCTTTCTTTGAGTAGTGGTGGAAGGAGCTGCTATCATCTGGACTGCAGTGGGAAAGGAACATAAAATAAAAGGGAGCAGTTACGTTGTTCATTTCTGCATATGGAACAATAAAGCTGAAAGAATAACACCGCCACAGACCATCTCACTGCTGCTTGGTAAACCCATTAGATCAGCAAAAGAGGAAGGAAAAGATGGGGATTTTTCACCTCAGGTTTAGCATGGCTGAGTACAATTAGATGGAAGAGTAAAACCAGGAAATGGACACTAGACAACCTGGGGGCAGAGAGTTCTGAAGGAAGCTAAGATATCAAAACTTGATGCTGTGCATTACAAACCTTGAGAACGTGAGAAGAATTAATGGAAGATTAAAAAAAACCTGTAACTTTTACCACTAATAGAATGTAAGAGGAACAGCATTCTTAATTTTTTTTTTTTAAAGAAAATGTTGCCGTTTTTATAGATTGTAAGTTTATAGACAGATCAGAATAACGTTAACAGAAGGATCACTAAGAATAGGATCTGGATTTCAGTAACAAAAAACTCACCTTTAGCCATTTTCTGCTTTTCTTCAATTTGGAAAAGTTATATAGACTCCCTTTTTCTGTTTTTGGCTCTGTTTAAAGAACATATCAAGACACTTATATTGTGCAAGCAGTTCAACGTAAAGATACTTTCAATAGAGAAAGCATTTACTCCAAACTGAATTACCATTGAATCATTTTGCAATGTGAACTACAAAAAAAAAAAAAAAAGGAATCTTCTGATTATGTCTGTTAGCCTATAAGCACATCACATGTTTGATGAATTATTTAATCAAACCCAATTGCTCCTGGATCCAAGTGATATATATATATATATGCAAGACCGGCCCACATAATTATCATCAAAGGCAAACTAAAATTATTTTTAAAACTCTCTTACCAGATTGTAGCACTCCATTGAGGGAGTGTGTGTTTAACATTCCTGAACATCCTGCTCCAGAAGGTTCTCCAAGCAATGAGGTTGCAGGCTCTTCTTTCACTTGCATCAAGGGACTCCCAGGCTGAGGAAGCAAAGGATTGTCATCCAATCCATCCTCACTTTCATCACTACAGGAAAAAACAGAAATATACATTTTATCATAATAAAAGGATTAATGCTGTAAAAAAATAGTTATGCTCCAGAGCAACTTTCATTTACCTCATCTCTAACACCAGAAGGAAGTGAAACTGACTTCAAATCCTGTGGATACACTGATGTAATGTAGGTATTTTGGCAATAAAATGGAGTGGTTTGCCACTGCCACCTTCTTGGATGTTTTTTCAACTTTAATCTAGCCTAAAACCTTTATATTCTCTGTGGTTTCCAGGTACTAGCAATGCCCAATTCTGTTTAGTTTCCATACTCAGACAGGATTAAACAATTGTTGCCACTGACGGACACTCTATCCCAGTGGTGGCGAACCTATGACACGCGTGCCAGAGACGGCACTCAGAGCCCTCTCAGTGGGCACATGGGCCGTCGCTCCAGCCCCTCCTCCCCCGTGGCCCCCTTCTCACCAGCAGCCCCCCTAGAGGAGAATCGCCCCTGGGCACGACCCACGCAGAGCAGCGCAGCCAAGAACATGGCAGCCAGGCAGCAGGGACAAGACTCCACCCTCACGCCTTGTCACTCACAGATGATGCTGCGGGCACGGGCGGAGGGCGTGGCTGCCATGGTGCTGCTGGGTCACCTGGGCGATCTCTTGCAGTGGGCCATGGAGGCAGTGGGTGGCCCTGCAGGCGGGTGAAAGTGGGGTAGAGCAGGGCGAATCAGGCGGTTTTGGAGCACTCGGTCTCTAAAAGGTTCGCCATCACTGCTCTATCCCAAGGGTACCGGTGTGAGGCCCATTGGGAACCTGGCTTTGCAAGCGGCAGGCAAGCACATGAAGCTCCATTTGGGGGGGAAAACTATCCCCCCCACCGCTGCTGGTTCACAGATCAGAAAAGGTTAGGGACCACTGCTCTAACCCTAGATGGATATAATGTATTAGATGTCTCAATAAGATAAAATCAAGTACGAATTTATAAATATTAACATAACACTATTTAAAATACTGTTATATAAAGTACATTTTTCCACATTCAGTATTGTATAGGAATTTAAGTTCTGTATCCTTTTATTTTTCTTCCATTTTTCTAAAAATCTTTTTTATTCTTCCATGATTTCAAATTTTCCAGTTCACATTAGAAAACAAAATTATGACTTTGGCAAACTTAGTATGTGTATTTTTAAATACCCTATGCTTTCAGAACTAAATGAAAAATAAATACATAGGTTCTGGTCACATCTCCCATTCTTTTAAAAGCATTAACAGCAGCATCAGGATATACATGTGGGTATTTGGATATACACTCTGCTCCCTTTTCAATATTAAAATCTGAAGCTGATATCTGCAGATTTATCTGCAGATCCCATCCTCATGGAGCTCATTTGCCCTCATTACTGAAACTAATGTTAGGAATTAAGATAGTTGGAATATGAAATGTCTGCTTTTTTAAACTGAGCCCACATCAAAATGGTTTTGATACCTGGATGCAGCCCTATTGAAAATGGCAGAAGTCTGTCGTAAAAAGTGATCCAACCGCAGAGCTTTCTCCAAATACCGCAGATAGAGAGGCGTTGCCAGCTCTGTGCAGTTGCCATCTTCTCCTGAACCCAGCTCTGAGGCCATAGAACAAGTCTCTCTTCATGCAAAGATGTCTCCTAACGCACAGCTGTTTCAAAACAGAATGCAGTAGTTTAATACATCATTCCTATTTTCTGGATTTTTTTTTTCAGTGGCGGGATGAAATACATTATTTTCCTACATCACATTTCACACATGGCAAGCCCAAACAGAATATAGTTAAGAAATCAGAAGTTGCAGAATTGCACACTTATTTTACATAAAATTAATCCCACCTGAAAGAGAAAATATGGAGAAGGTACTGGAATAGGCAAGTAAATTACATCCTCCCCACATGTGTTTTCCTGAAGAAAAATTATTAATATCCAATTATTTATATTCTCGTCAATACACAAATCATAACCCTATAAAATTGTTTGCCATATTGTTTAAATGCATAGTGTGATTTGTACATCTCCCTACACAGGGGTTGCATCCTATCTATTTTAGGCTTATCTTTTGCTTCCAATATCACAACAAACAAATCTGTGCTTTAATGGAATTGTGTTCTAATCTCTGGTCCAAATAAATTTCTATACTACCACTCTTTCATATGCCACTGATAGCATTATCTTGATATGGATCTCAAGTGAATTTCTGAATCCAGTTGCAATGGCTAATGACAAGAAGGACCTAATTACATGAAGACAAATAGTTATAACAGACTGAGTATGTGCATAGAAAACAAATGTTAGTCTATAATATTCCACTGTTGGATGGTAACCAAGTATAATCTATCTCATCATTAACTCAGAGTCAAAAAGACCCTATGTGCATTTCTAAAAATATTACTTTTGTGTTTTTTTAACCAACTGAATTTAGCATAATAAAAATGAAACCAGACAATTGACTGAATAAATAGTGGATGGTATGACAGAATACAATAAACCTGTTCAAACTAAATTCTCCCTGAAAAAAATCTGGTATCTTTGAGGAAATCTCAAAAGTGTTTTTCAGAATACAGGTAGACCTCGACTTACAACAGTTCATCTAGTGACCATTCAAAGTTACAATTGCACTAAAAAAAGTGAGTTATGACCATTTTTCACACTTATGACCATTGCAGCATCCCCACGGCCACGTGATTTATATTTGAATGCTTGACAACTGATTCACATTTATGACGCTTGCAGAGCCCTGGGGTCATGGGATCACCTTTTGCAACTTTCTGCCAAGCAAAGTAAAAGGGGAAACCAGATTGACTTAACAACCGTGTTACTAATTTAACAACTGCAGTGATTCAGTTAACAAATGTGACCAGAAAAGTCGTAAAATGGGGTACAACTCACTTAACAAATTTCTCAATTTAGCAACATAATTTTTTGGCTCAATTATGGTCATAAATTGAGGACTACCTGTAATATCTAATGCCAAAGCATGGACAAGATATGCAAAAATGTTACTTTTTTAAGAAAACATTTCAGGAAATATAGAGATGAATTTTGCCATATGACAAATTTATTTCAAGTTTTATTATTCTTTACAGAATTGAAGGCCATTCTGCGATGACTTCTCTTAATATAAAGAAAAGGCAAATCTGTCTTTATTTTCAGAATGATTTCTTCTATATATTTCTTTTTTCTTCTCTCATGATATATACTGCATTTTACATGATATATATTGCATTTTTACAAACATTTTCTTCACAGTATAGTGAATTTCTATGCATACTGTGCTTTAATATGCATGGTGTATGATCTTTCCTTAAATACATGTTATTGTACGTATTAGTGAAATTGCAAAGTAGTCTAAATGTGCTAACAATTTTACATATATCGTATGTAACGTACAGATGGTCCTTGTTTAACAACTGTTCAAACCTATGACAATGCTGAACAAATAGTAGTTAAAACCAGTCCTTGTGCTTAGAGCTGTTGAAGCTGCTGACGGTCACGTAACTACAACAAGTAGTTGGCTCACGATGTTGCAACCTCCCCTCAGTCACGTGATTACAATTGTGACCTTTCCTGCTGGCTTCTCCTAAGCAAAATGAATGGGGAAGCTAGAACAAAGTCACAACTCACAATCAAGTGAGATCCTCATTTAACAACAGCAATGAGGACTGCTAGAACTGCAATTGCTAATTAGTGTAGACTTATGACTGAAGTCCCAATTAGCACCATTAAGCAAGGACCACCTGTACTGATAGCAAATAATAGAATGTGTATAAAACTATTCCTCTATCTCTCACTGTTGATGTGATTTTCCAATAGAGTCTGAAGAAGATGAGAAATGAAACGTCTTCTAAGAAAAACAAGAAAGTCCCATTTGCCTCACGAAAAAACATCTTTGGGACAACGATGACCCGAATGACTGAGAATCTCCATAGTCAATAAAATCCTATGGAAACCAAAGGCTCTTTGGAAGTTTCTTGATGCTATCACTAATGAAAAGAAACTGGTCTACCAACAAAGAGAGATCACACCCCAGACTACAGATAACCATCTTGTACTTTCCATATTTATATAAGAGCCAGTATAGTGCATTTCGAAGAG